AACTCAAAATGGATAAAAGACTTCAAATTTCAAACTAGTACAGGAAACAGGGGAAATCACGACATTGGCAAAGATGATGATTTCCTGGATAAAACCCCCAAAATCACAGGGAAAAAAAGCAAAAATTGACAAATGAAATAACATCAAACTGAAAAGCTTCTGTACAGAAAAGGAATTAATTAACAAAGTGAAGAGACAATGTATAGAATGGGAGAAAGTGTTTGTCTCCTATGTATCTCACAGAGGGTTAATATCAAGAATACATAGGAAAAAAGAAAAAAAGTAGTCCAATTAAAAATGTTCAAGTCAAATAAAAAGGCACTCTTAAACAAATGCAAATGACCAGTAAGTAAACAAAGAAATATTCAATACAATTAGCCATGAGGGAAATGCTAATCAAAACTATGATGAGATATCATCTCACCCTATTTAGAATGGCTGGTTGAGTGCAGTGGCACACTCCCTTAATTCCTGACTCAAACAGGAGGAATTTAAGTTCAAGGCCAATCTGGGCAACTCATCAAGGTCATGTCTCAAAATAAAATGTTAAAATAATTGGAGATCTAACTCAGTGGTAAAATACCCCTGGGTTAAATCCCCAGAACCAAATAAATAAATAACCTACTAGTGTTGGTGCAAATAAGGAATTCCTACACACTGCTAGTGAGCATGTAAAATTAGTACAGTCACCATGGAGAAGAGTATCAGTATGGTGGATCCTCAAACAAACTGAAAATTGATCTACCACATGATTCAACTATTCCACTTCTGGGTGTTTATTCAAAGGACAGTAAATTAGCATGCCAAAGAGAAATGTAGGAATTCATGTTTATGCAGTACTATTCATAATAGCTAAGATATTAAATTGTCTAGGTGTCTCTTAACAGATGGATTTTTAATCCACATATACACAATGGAATATTATTAGACCATAAAGAAAATCCTGACATTTGCAGCAAAATGGACGGAACTGGAGGACATTATATTAAATGAAACAAGCCCAGACACTGAAAGACAAGTAGTGCATATGCCCTCTCATACATGAAAGCTAAAAATTTTCAAAATGAATATAGAATAGTAATTCATAGAAGTTGTGAAGGCAAAGGAAGCAATTAACAAAGTGAAGAGACAATGTACAGAATAGGGGAGGTGGATAAAGGAAAGTGAAATTGGATCCTTGCATGTTATATGCATGTGTAGAACTATCACATCAAACCCCATTAATATGCAAGGCATGATGGTGCACACCTAAAATTCCAGCATCTAGGGAAGCTGATGCAGAAGGATCATGAGTTCAAAACCAGCCTCAGAAATGGAGAGGTACTAAGCAACTCAGTGAGACCATGTATCTAAATAAAATACAAAACAGGGCTGGATATGTGGTTCAGTGGTTGAGTGCCCCTGATTTCAAACCCCAGTACCAAACAAAAACAAACAAACAAAAAATTGCACAGTTAGTAGGTGTTAATAAGCAAAAATAAAATGTAAAATAGAAAAACAATTAAAAAAATACACATGACCTCTGACCCAGCAATCCCAGCTCTATGTGTATTTCCAAGAGAAACAGGTGCTTATGTTCATAAGGACATGTATAAAGTGGTAATCCCAGCTATTTGGATGGCTAGACAGGAGGATCACAAGTTTCTGGCCATGATGAGCAACTTTGCAATACCATATTTAAAAATAGTTGAGGATGTGGCTCACAGGTAGAGTGCCCCTGGGTCAAATCTTCAGCACCACCAAAAAGAAAAGATATGTACAAAAATCCCAAATGCAGCATTGTTCAAAATAGCTAAAATCTAGCAGCAATTAAAATGTCCATTTACAGCAGAATGAAATAAAAACTGCATAGTTACATGACATAACACCACACAACAAGGAAAAGATTGAACTACTGCTACATGGAACAACATGGATAAATGTCCCAAAAATAATATTCAGTAAAAAAAATCAACATTTAGTAGTACTTACCATTAAGATTATAAAATATGAGATTCAAAAAATGGAATCAGAAATATTCTAGGGTGGCAGACATCAGAATATTGGTTGCCTTTAAGAGGTTACTGACTGGAAAGAGAAGCACTGAACTTCTGAGTGCTGACATAGTAGTGGATTGTTCTTGAATTTCTTTTTCAGTGCAGATCCTAAAACAGAAAAAAAGACAAAACCCACTTTGGGAGATTTAAAGATAAAACTTTATTTGGGAACATGATAACAGGTAGCAGGAGGAGACTTTAGGAAGGGTAAAACAGGAAGGAGGGGAATGCCAATACATGATGCTATCAGGCTGGTCACTGCTATGAAAAACTGGGATCTGATCTTGCTGGGGGCTTCTGATTTCTCCATACAGATTGTGTCTCTGAAATATCTATCTGAGAAATGAGAAGAGTGCATATTCATGACCTGTCCATGAGGTGTTATACCCCAACATTTGCAGTTCTGAGCATTGACAAAAGCTAAATAGCTTCTCTCAGGTGTCCCAATCACATTGCAGGAAAAGTCTTGGGGCAAAGGTGCAGAGGGTGGGCAATGCAGCTGAAGAGAGCCTGTCACAGTTGCTTCGGCAAAGGCAGTACAGAGGTGTCTGCTACTGTCATGTTATGTTGTCACACATGTACACAAAATTCAAAAGTTAATCTTTTTGTTTTTCCTAAAAAAAGCCACAATATTCCAAAGCCTGGGTTAACTGTTCAGCTCTCTGTGCCACCTAGTGGTGAAATATAAACATTCACAAGCATCAGCAGGTGTTCAAACAGAAAAATTGATTTTTCACTCTGTTCCAAATTGAAATCCTGGTGCCTGATATAGACTGCTCACCTACAATGACAACTGTTTGTTTGTAAGGATAATTTTCTTAAACCACTAATTTAAGATGAAAGGGCAAACTCAATTTGGTACTTTTAAGTAAACCATATTGGTGTGGGGAGCTTTGTAGATGAAACTTTGTTTTAAATGTAGGATTTTAGCTGCCTCTAGGCTACTTCCCCATATTTTTCCACAGTTATGATCAGCATTAAATAAGATCTGCATGCTGCATTTGTAATCTCAACAAGCCTAATTCCATTTTGAAGATATTCTCAGTGAATATATTTGCCATACATATAATAAAGGATAGATGTGTGATGAGTGAAGGAAGGACAAGTGAATGCAGGAATAAATTTCTCAAGAGGAAATCCATGGAAAATTTTCTTATATGTTCTGGCATCTGTATCTGATCTCTCTAGATGTTCCCATTCACCTGGGTTCCCTCCTCTTGCTGCCTAAGCAAAATGAGACTAAATCCCTATTCCAAAGCTCACCTCGAGTAAGTTTTTTCTGGAAGCCAAGAAAAAAAAAACAATGAAAATAATAAACTGTACAATCAAAGTGGGTAGTCAAAATTTTCCAGCTCAGAACACAGTGGGATGATATTTTTCTTCCATTACACTATACTCAATAGGTACCTGCTGCATAGTAGGTATACAGTAGGTGTCTAAGAACTGTTAAATCAGTTTATGAATATAAAATAATTGAAGTCTGGTCATGGATGTCTTAACTCATACTGCTGGTTGGGGTCATTAGTCAATCCTCATTAGTCAGGATATCTGAATTTCTAATTTGTCTACGTGTGAAATTTTTTATGACCCCAAGTTAAGTATTCACAGTGCTTTTGCAGTTACTCATAGATATGTACAGAGTGGTGCAAAATGGGAGTCAAAGGAAGAACACATTCCCTATGAAAGTCAAAGAAAGGTGATACTCTGTCTTCAGGTTTCCCTTCTCACTGCAGGATGAGCGTCCTGTGTGGCCTAGTGAGTGCCATGGTTTTCACATTTTGTGCTCTTTGTCACTGATATTGTCAACTTAAATGGCCCCAAACCTATCTCCACAGTGCTATCCAATGTCCTTATACTGAAAAAGGCTGTGATGTGTATTACACAGGAAGAAGGTGTTTTAGATCAGCTTTGTTATAGTTATACTGCTGTTGGCTGTGAGTTCAGTGTTAATGAACAACACAATGCACTGGAAAGGAAAGATAAAATTTGATGACTATTAGGTGAAGTTACATTGTAAAGTAACATCTATAATGCTATGATAAAGCTAAGAAAAACAACTAAATTTGGGGTTTCTTGAGATGACAACTGATTTTTTGTTAAATATGATAGACAGCACTGTTGGAAGATTAAAATCCAAGGATACATGTGATCACATTAATCAGGGTCAGAAAATTGTTAAACACTTCTCTGATAATGTTTTTATTTAAATAATATGGCATACAATGAATTACTTGAAAACATAGATAAAATAAGATTTTTAAACAAAACACACAAAAACAAGGATATGTATTGATCAGTTAATAAAAACACTGAGAACAGAAACTCAAAGGAACCTACCCCTCTATTTACCCTAGGAGCATGGCTCAGTGGTCACTAACATTGTTTGCAGCAGCAACTGTAGAGAACATAACTGCTGCGAATGCACCTTACTCACCTGGACCTACTTCAATCCTCAAGGGCAGCACTTTGGCTCCTCATTTTTCATTCCCTCCTCAGTGATGTACTTGGGCCATATTTCAGGTATCACCACCATGAGGTACCTCTTAAACTTTAATGTATCTGTGACTCTTTCTGATGATTTTGTTGAAATGAGAACTGGAATTCAGTAAATCTGAGAACAGGCCATAGAGTCTACATTTCTACCAAACTCCCATGTAATGAATCTGCTGCTTGACCATAAAGCTCACTGGATAGGGAGGACCTTCATCTTTCCCTGATCTTTTGGTTTAGAGCACTTGGAACAATAGTTTTATGCTTATATTTCCTTAAAATCTAACAACAGAATTGGTACGATCAAAACTGTGTTTCCCCTCAGAGACTCAGAAAAGAATGTAGAACTAAGAAAGCACAAAGTCTCCTGGCCAAACAAGACTCAAATGTCTTAAGTACAACACAGGTGTCAGGAAGGAAGAGAGTTAAACAAACAACAAACAAAAAACCCTACAAACCTTATTTAAATTCCACACAAGTTTTTATTGAGAACATACTACATATAGGCTAGACACTTTACTGGGGATACAGAGACTTAAAAAGCATGTGCTTGGCTCTCAAACTTTTAAAAATTTAAAAGAAGAAATGAACCTACACAATTGCCAGAGATGCCAGGCAGTGAGAGGTACAATTGAAGTCTGGGGATGCACAGATGGAGGAGAGATGGCTTCCCACTGTGGATCAAGGAAGGACCCCTGGAGGATGTGACACCTGAAATGCATCTGATGATACATTACATCTAACCAGGCTGACACTGAAAACATCCTGTTCCATTCAGAGTTGAACCCACAGAAGCCAGGTTAGAACAACAAATCCTACAAGATTACATTGAGCATATATTGGTATATGATCATGGAGCAGAAATGAATGGCAAAGTTTTAACAAGGAGAGTTGAAGTGATAATATCATCATGCAGTGTTCATGGGTACACTGGGCACCTGGGTAGCTGGGTCCTCATTTCAAAGAGAGAGCACTGCAGGGAGCTTCACACTGTGTCCTACGTGAACAAAAAAATAACAGACCTTCATAAGGTGGAGGTGAGAACAGAGGAGAAAATGGAAATGGGGCTGGGAGGAGAAGAAAAAGTGAAAACAAAGATTAAAAAGAAGGGAAGAGCACTGGGGAGGAGGGACAAACAGGAAAGATTGATACAAAGAACTCACCAGCGTTTCATAAACCAAAATCCAAGACCTGCCAGAAGAGCCAGGGCCACTATCACTGCCAAGAGGATCCAGCCCAGGGCACTAGGAGGTGCTGCAGATTCAAGTGGACACCAACAATGTTGTTTGAATCTGCATCTACAGATTCCTTATTTTAAATTCTTCCACTCTTTGAATTATATCTTTTTCTTCTTTTTTGATAGGAAATTTATCAATCCCAATTTTTTACCTGGTCCTCATGCTCTGCTAGAAGATATCCCCCATCTCAGGAGTGGGTCCCACTCTTACCACCCCAGTAGAGGACGAGGTCCTGCCCTCCTAGGCTGCTGTGCTTCACCCTGCAGGCCAGGCCAGCCGCCTCCCCAGCTGCCACGTCCAGGGTTGCTTGGAGATTCCATGTCCCATCAGCATTGGGCAGGATGTCACCTCTCTGAGTGCCCAGCTGCTCCTGTTCCCCTCGCATCCACATCACCCACACAGGCTTTGGGTAGAAGCCAGACACGTGGCACACCAGCAGCAGATGGCCAGGCCCAGGACTGAGGCCACTGGACAGCCAGGCCTCAGGCTTCACTGCAAAAGACAGAAAACACATCCAGACACACACTGTAACATACACTGAGAGGTTCAGAACTCCACATGAGACTACATGAATATATACTTCCCCCTTCTGCAAATGTCACTCGGATTCCTCATCTCTTTTTATCCTAAATTTGACTTCAAAACAGAAAAATTCTTGGAAATTTAGGTACAAGACTGACCTTGTTGCTGGAGATGAGCCTTTCCTGCATCAAGAAGACCCAAGGTGAAACGTGGGAAGGTGTCACTGAGGAGTGTATGTACCCTATGAGTGTAGGCTTGGTTCATATTGAGTATTTCGCAGGCTTTCTGGGCCTTTCTTCCACCCTTTGGAGATGGTGACCATGTTTCATTCTGGAAGCTCAGGAAATCATATCCTTGGATAGCTATCCACACAAAGCCTACCCAGGACTTCCCAGAGTGCAGTTCACAGACTGCTGTCACCTGTAGATCAAAGGGATCTGGAGAAGAAGAGTAATGAATTAGAGGAGAAAAGGGAGAAAATGGAATGAGTGGAAGCAAAAGGAAACACAAGCAGAAGGGAGTTTGGGGAGTTTAGGGGATGGACCCCAGTGTGGTTTGAGCTGAGGTTCACAGAAAGGGGAACTGGTAGGAGCTGGAGGTGGAGGAAGAGATGATAATATGAGGAAGGGAGGGAATTGTTCAAAGATATTAGTGATGGTGTGGGGGGTGAAGGACTTAATGTGAGAGAGCTGAGACTCTAACTAACCAGGGTGAATGTATCCATGGTCACTATGACAGTTTAGATGGGAATGACTGAAGAGATTAAATGGGAAAGAAAACCACACTGTAAGGAGTCAAACAAAGAATGAAGAAGCTGAGTTAAAACTTGGGAAAAGGGTGCCCCCTGGATGCCTCTGAGGGGAGATAATAACACACAGCCCTGCAGCCAATGAGAGAGCAGTTCATAAGTGGCAAAAACTGAAGTTTTTGAAGAATCTGGTTATGTTTATTACACGTGCCCAGAGTGTGGTTGCAGTTTTATACTAAAGAGAGTGGAATAAGATTCAGAGCAGAAAGGGTGTTTCCCTGAGGAATACCAGTTCACTGAGATGTCCCACTCTTCATCAGTTTATTCTCCCAGCAAGGAAAAGGGAACTCACCTTTAAACATTAATTGAAAAATGTAAAATTCCTGATGGTCACTGAAGTATACATGGAAAAACTTTTCCAGATCCATCAACTCATTATTACTGAAGTTGCCCCTGGACCAGGGATACAGGTAAACGATGGTATTAGAGCTGCTGTTCCATCTGTGAGTCTGCAGCTCACCCAACCAGCCTGAGCCCTGATGTACCCAGGAATGGTTGTGAAAGGATGACGTCTGCATGAGATGGTAGGAGACAAGCTCCTTCAAACCTGTGGCAAAAGAATAGATACAAGGGGAGAAATGTGACATTGGGAGGGAGAGACTTGAGAAAGTAGGTGTCAGAGTAGGAAGACTCAGAATCTGGAAAAGTGGAGGGCCACCGTTACCTTAGCTGACATCTGCTGGCCCCCAGAGTCCCATGCTCTACCAACAACCTCCATGAGAGCACAGAGGGCTTGAGTAAGAACATGCAGAATGGGGCCAGCTTGACCCTTGTTCTTTCCAGGTATGTGCAGGGGAAACTATCATCAAAACACACACACACACACACACATACACACACACACAACTGGTCAGTTGCCCCGGTTCTTACCACTGTCACCTCCTGGGAAGAGAGCAGTAAGCAAGGGGAGTAGCAGAAACAGCATGGCCCTTGCAGATGCTACTTCTTTCTCTCAGAGAAGTCGTCCTTTGATTTTTGTTCTAAACACACCTACCCCACAGACCTCTCTTCTGACTTCCTTATTCAACCAAAACACAAAACTTTTCTGCCTGAAACAAAGAAAATCTGTTCCCTTTCAAAACTCTGACCACCTACTCAGTTTCCCATTTCCCCAGCTATTCTGACTCTCTTCCCAGTCTTCCAACTTCTCTCATTGTCAAACTTCCATCCTATTCATCTTCCCCTAGTTCAACTGCTATGGAACAAGACTTGTGTGACTCTGAAAAGTCCCTTACCACTAGGAACACTTCTTTTATTGCTGGGTATGGAACCCAGGATCTTAAGCATTTTCTGTTATTGTAATAATTTTGAATTATCCCCCATGTGACCTCTTCCCTGCCCTACCCCCACTCCACCTCATTCAAATCTCTGACATCACCGATTACTTTATTTCCTTTTTCAGAAGCCCCTATGATTGTCCTCTGAAACAGTATCAACTACTGAGTCTGTGGATCATATATCCAGGGCTGGCTCTGTGGGGCATGCAGCCAATCTAGTAACACATTTAATTCTCTGTGATTACTACCTTGAATTTTATAGTACCTTTTTTGAATTTGGATTTCATAAATGAATTTCATAAATTTGCAAGAGCTCATAGCATCATCTCCAGCTTATGAAGGGTTCTTCCTTCCACAATCTCACCTGTATGCTCAGCACTTTTTTACCTGCTCCCCACTGACTGGGGCCTTGGAAACTCTAGACTCTGCCTCTCCACCTCCAACCTGCCATCACTGCAGTGACCAGGTCTCATTGTAGGGGCAGGGTAGGCCCATTCTGCCATCAGCCTCTGTCGCGACCCCTTGCCCGCAAGGAAGACGCAACTCAGGAATCTTCTTTCAGCAGTTTATTCAGGCCCTTGATATTACTTCTTCTTCTCCCTCTCGGGTGCCCCTCCCAGCCTTAATAAAGCATCTCAAGCCCCAATGCGAAGCTGCCACGTGGAGCTTTCTCATAGAGTGGTGAAAAACCACGCGCCAACTCTCCCAAATAAGGAGTTGTTTGTCACAGACCACAGCGGAGCCAGCGCCATCTTGTAATGGCGACCATAGTCTGCAGAAACGGCAGAAGCGGCTCACCACAGTTCCCCCTTTCTGTTTTCTTAAAACAATACAGGCGAGAGTAGAGGTCCTATCCCACTGTGCAGAAGTGGCTGCATAGTATGACTCAGTCCTAAGGAGGGCCCTTCCCCAGATCTGAGGCCATATCAGCCGACGCCTTTTTTCGTGGGGCGGGGCGTGGACGCGTCTAACCCACATGCAATAGGACATGCTCTCCTTGAGGTCCACGTCAAGGATCACTCAAGTGCAGTGCCTTGCCTCGCATCCTGTATCGTGACGATGGTGGACGAAGGGGGATAGCTAAGGCTGAACTGTGGCTGTTTATAACGACAAACAAGTTAACAGCACCCTGAAAGAAAGGCACGGACTTAAAGGCGATAGAAAAGTACTAGTGTGGAAACCCATCTGCGTGCAATGGCAGTAAGACCGGCAGAGTGCAAGGGCTTTCCAACACTAAGAGAATAACAAGGAAAGTCATGTCGATCCCAGTGCAATGTTATAATAACTTGGGGTGTAACGACCATGTCAAAGGTTTACTGTTTAAGATGCGCAAGCCAGACTTGAGGTGAGTTGCCATTTTCTAAAGCTGCAAGAGCTTGTATGATCATAGCCTTATCGTGAGCACTGCGGGCCTTAAGGCGACAGAGAAACCACAAACAGAGGAACATACCAAAGCAACACATTGCACCAAAAATGCCTACCCCCACCCACTCTTTGAAGAAGGAAAAAGCAGAAGATATCCAATCGGTGAATTGACCCAAAGTCACGGGATCGACACGAGTACTGTTCAAGACGGCTATCTGGGTTAGTTGAGACTGGATCATGTCTTCCGCTGCCATGGACCAATTTCCGGCCAAATATTCGCCAATGATGCGGGAGGCATTCCTGGAATCATTAAATCTGACAGAGGTTATGCATAAATGTGCACGTTGGTCAACACAACCCAAAAGCACCAAGTCAGCCAATTCTTCTACCTGAGCTTGGAGTAAATCTATTCTTTGGTTGGCAGCTAAAATCCCTGACAAAATATGTTGATTAATTGTGTTTTGGGATTCAAGTATGGTGGAAGTTTGTTGAACAACTTGATTAATGGTGGCAGCAGTTTGTACTTGACTGGCCATGGCCACTCCGGCCGTAACCGCTGCAGCAGCAGACACTGCCACAGCTGTCACTATAGCTGCCGTAATTCCAAAATCCCTGCGGACTCTAAGTAGCTCAACAATGGGGAATTTATCTGGGTCCACAGTGACTGGGATTGGGACAAAAGTTGGAATTTTCATAACCACTGCTACAGTCCAAGAACCATTCCAACACTCAGATAAGAGACAGGTAACATTAGAACAATCCAGCATCCCCGACGAGGTGTCATTAGCCAAAAGGAGCAAGAACGGGGATTGGACACAGACCCTTGCAGGGGGCAATGTGGCATTATATAGCAGAGAGTTGAACGAAACAGATGTAAGTCTATTACCTCGTTCACTGTCCCTAACAGTGCCAGAAACATTAGCCAGCCAGCTTTTTGCTCCCAGCAATTGAGCCAATGCAGAAATATCGGCTAAAGCCCCCTTCTCATTGGAAATCAGCCATTGAAACCAGGACCAACCTACTCCTGTAGAGGAGTTGGCACTGTTGTTAAAGTTATAAACATGCCTCTTAAGAGAGGGGGAAAGGGAGAAACCTTTAGCAACTTCAACAAAAGCGAAATGACACAACTAAAGAAACACAGAAAACAAAAGCGAAAGTAGAAGCGAAAGTACACAGTGCAGCTGCAATAAAATGTAATGCTCTCTCTTTCTTTACAGAGGAGCTGCCCCGCTTTGATCGCGGATCCCACTTATTGGGACTAACCCCGCTTTGGTCGCGGATCCCACTTACCTGGGACTAACCGGTGCACCACCCCTGACTGCTGAAAGTTCTGGTTCCCGGGTTTCGGCACCATTTGTCTCGACCCCTTGCCCGCAAGGAAGACGCAACTCAGAATCTTCTTTCAGCAGTTTATTCAGGCCCTTGATATTACTTCTTCTTCTCCCCGGATGCCCCTCCCAGCCTTAATAAAGCATCTCAAGCCCCAATGCGAAGCTGCCACGTGGAGCTTTCTCATAGGGTGGTGAAAAACCACGCGCCAACTCTCCCAAATAAGGAGTTGTTTGTCACAGACCACAGCGGAGCCAGCGCCATCTTGTAATGGCAACCATAGTCTGCAGAAACAGCAGAAGCGGCTCACCACAAGCCTCTGCCACTATTTCATACTTTACAGGCACAGAGGGAGAATATGACATGCACCCAACAGTGTGTGGGCAGAACATAGGTACAAGTGTCCCACCCAGAGCCTGAACCAAGTTGTTTTGTAACTGGTCAGGGTGAGCCTTTTCCCACTCTTGTTCCAACTATCATATGCATCTCCATATAATTTTATTCCAACTCTCAGTGGTTACCCATGTGCCTAGTGTTGGGGTGACCATTTGGGGAAAGGGAGATTAATTTCCCCATACAGTCTACCAGCCATAAGGATCATTTGAGAAGCCGAGGCAGCAGAAACAAGGCAGCCAGTGGGTAACTTGCATGTCACCATGGAGTGAGCCCTCCAAGATGCCTAAGAGTTTCTGCAGTCATCCTAATAGTTTCCCTGTGCCCAAGGGATGCAGTATCAGGAGACTAAATAAAACACAGATGCATAACATTCCATAGAAATAAAGAAGTTTTGTATTTTAGCACCTTTAAAAGCACTCCCTTCTCTGCCTTTTGAACACAAACCTGCTATGATCTGAATTTTTATGTCTTCCCCAAGTTCATATTGGGATCCTGACCACCCATGTGATGATATTAGGAGGTGGGGCCTCTGGGAAGTAAGAAGGTCCTGCTGTCTCAGACCTCAAAAATGAGATTTGTGCCTTATAATAGGGACCTTAGAGAGACCAAATTACCCTTCCACCATGGGAAGAAACATTCTGAAGGTGACTTTAATTAACCAAAATGCAGGACCCACTACAAAACAAATCTACCTTAATTTTGAACTGTCCTGACTCAGGAAAAGAAATTTTGTAGTGGTTGTAAACCACCCAGTCTATGGCATGCTATCATAGAAGCCGGAATAACTAGGACAAGGCTCCACATTTTCATTTTTCCGTCAATCAAATAAAATATATGACTGCTGCTCTTGAGTGTGGGATATGGAAAGCAAGGAGAGGACAGTTGGTTTGGTGCAACCACTATGGAACACAGTATGGAGATTCCTCAGAAAACTTGGAATGGAACCACCATTTGACCCAGCTATCCCACTCCTCAGTTTATACCCAAAGGACTTAAAATTGGCATACTACTGTAATGCAACCATGTCAATGTTTATAGCAATTCACAATAGTTAAACTATGAAACCAATGTTGGTGACCTTCAATAGATGAATGGATAAAGAAAATGTGGTGTATATACTCAATGGAATATTACTCAGCTTTAAAGAATAATGAAATTATGGCATTTACCAGTAAATGGATGGAATTGGAGAATATCATGCAAAGCGAAATAAGGCAATCCCACAAAACTAAAGGGTGAATGTTTTCTCTAATATGCAGATGTTAATTCATGATAAAGTGAGGGGCATTAGAGAAGAATAGTGTTACTTTAGATTAGGTAGAGAGAAATGAAGGGAGGAGGGGTGAAGGGATATAGGGATAGAAAAGATAGTAGAATGAAACAGACATTTTTTCTGTATGTATATATGTGATGGCATGACAAATATGAGTCTGCAGCATGTACACTCAGAAAAATGAGAAATTATATTCCATCTATGTATGACATAGTGCATTCTACTGTCATGTATAACAAACCAAAAAATTTAAAAAAAGAATACATATAAAACTAAGAGAAAAAGTAGTTCACTTAAAAATGGACAACTGATCTAAAAACACATTCTCAACAAAAACAAATGGCCAATAAGTAAATGAAGAAATACTCAATATAATGAGCCATTAGGGAAATGCAAATCAAAACTATAATGAGAAATCATATCACCCCATTTATAATGACTGGTTGAGTGCAGTGGCACAGACCTTTAATCCTTAACTCAGGAGGAGTTCATGTTCAAGGCCAGTCTGGGCAATTTATCAGGACTTGTCTCAAAATTTAATAATAATAATAATAATAATAATCTAAAGGAATAGCTGAAGGAGAAGGAAGCCCAGATTGAAATACCTCCATGGGCTCTATGACCAAATTAATAGCTCTAAGGTCTGGTAATAATTTCCAGTTGCCTTTTTTTCCCAATGATGTGTACCCAGAAAAATTTTTCCAGGTCTATCAACTCCTTGTCACTGAAGTGGCCCCTGGACCAGGGATACAGGTAAACGAAGGTACCAGAGCTTATGTTCCAGCTGTGAATCTGCAGCTCCCCCAACCAGCCTGAGCCCAGATGTACCCAGGAATTGTTGCAAAAGGATGAAGTATGGATGATATGGTAGTAGACAGGCTCTTCAAACCCTGTGGCAAAAAAAAAGTAGATAAAATGGGGATAAATGGAACATTGGAAGGGAGAAACATGGGAAAGTATGTGCCAGAGTAGGAAGACTCAGAATCTGGAAAAGTGGAGAGCCACAGTTACCTTAGCTGACATCTGCTGGCCCCCAGAGTCCCATGCTCTACCAACAACCTCCATGAGAGCACAGAGGGCTTGAGTAAGAACACACAGAATGGGGCCAGCTTGGCCCTCGCTCTCTCCAGGTATGTGCAGGGGAAACTGCCATCAACACACACACACACACACACCCATCTGGTCAGTTGCCCCAGTTCTTACCAATTTCACTGTCACTGCCTGGGACTAGAGCAGCTAGTAACAGAAGTAGTAGAAACAGCATGGCAGTTGCAAATGATATTTCTTTCTTTCAGAGAATTTGGCCTTTGATTTCTGTTCTAAACAAACCTACACCCACAGACCTCTCTTCTGACTTCCTTATTCAACCAAAAGAAAAACTTCTCCTGCCTTCAACAAAGAAAATCTGCTTCCATCCCAAACCCTGGCCACCTACTCAATTTCCCCTTTCCCTGTTAATACGACTCTTGTCACATCCTGTGAAACAGTTTATTCAGGGCTACCTAGACTGGGTTGTGGGGGAATTGAGAAAAGATAAAGAGACAAAAATAGAGAAATAAATAATTGGGTTCAGTGGATCAGCCAACTTCTGATGGAAGAAAACTGACCATTAACAAGTTCAGCACATTTATTATATAAGTTTTTTTTCATTAAAGGGGTTATTGTGGGAAAGTTTATCAAAACAAGTAGAACCAAGGTCATGAGTATGGGAAGCCTATTTATGCTTATCAGGTTGCACCCATAAATTTCTACCCCTGAGCAGCTGGCATCTGATGCTCAAGGTCAAGAACTTATAGCCCTGAGGCTAGCACAGAACCTCAGCAACTGAGCTATCTCAATCAGAGCCTTCACCCCAGGAGTATTACAGAGTGGCATCAGCCTCTGTCACAGGAGAGTCCAGGACCTGTAATTCAGTGGCCACTCCCAACACACTCTCTCCTCAGTCTCCCAACTTCTCTCATTGTCACAACTTTCATTCTGTTCATCTTTGCCTGTTTCAACTGTTATGGAACCATGCTTATGTGGCACTGAAAACTCACTTTATCACTAGAGACACTTCTTTCATTGCTGGGTACTGAACCTAGGATCTTATGCATTTTCTGTTATTTGAATAATTTTGAATTATCCCCCCAGGTGTTCTGTTCCCTAGCCCATCCCCCACTCCACCAGATTCGTATCTCTGACATCACTGGTTACTTTTACTCTTTTCAGAATCCTCTATGATTGTTCTCTACATCAGTATCAACAAATGAATCTGTGGATTGTGTATTCAGGGCTGCTCAAAGGGGCATGAAACCAGTTCAGTAACACATTTAATGCTCCCTGATCACCACCTTGAATTTTATAGTAATATTATTGAATTTCTGTTTGATAAGTGAAGTTCAATGAAACTTGTTTGGAGCTCACAGGAGCCCCTGCAGCTTATGTAGGGTTCTTCCATTCACAACCTCACCTATGTATGCAGGTCTCTGCCACCTACCTGCTCCTCACTGTCTGGGGCTTTGTCAACTCTAGACTCTGCCTATCCACCTCCAGACTGCCACAAATGCAGTGTCCAGGTCTGTTTAGCACTTCAGGGCCCTTCTGCCTTCAGCATCTGCCACTGTCTCCTGACTGGCAGGGAGAGCGGGACATGCAACAGATAGTATATGGGAAGACCATAGGTGCAGCCATCCCATTCAAAGTCTGTACCAAGTTGTTTTATAACTGGTCAGGGTGAGCCTCATGCCCACTCTTGTTCCAAGTATCATGTGCCTCTCCAGATAATTTGGTTGCAATTTCTGTGTGGTTACCCTTGTGCCAAGTGTTGGAGCAATTACTTTGGGAAGGGGAGTTAACTTCCCCATTCAGTCCAGCAGGGGCAAGGATCATTTGAGCAGCAAGGGTCAGCAGGAACCTGGTAGCAAGTGGGCAACCTGCATGTAGTCATAAAGTGGGGCCCCCAGGTGTTGAAGAGTCCCTTTAATCATCTCATGAGTACCCCTGTGACTAAATGAAATAAAAACAGACATAATCTCCCATAGATATGGAAAAGGTTTGTGTTTTAATAACTTTAAAAGCTTTTTGAACACAAAACAGCTATGATATGAATCACTATGTCTTCCCCAAATTCATATAAGGGGATTCTCTAACCATCCAGGTGTTGGTATTAGGAGGTGGGTTCTTTGGGAGGTGTTTAGATCATGCAGTTTCAACCCTCAGAATTGAGATTTATTAGTGCCTTATAAATAGGATATCAGAGGGAGACCATAAGCCTTCCACCATGAAAAGACACATCTTTTTTTTTTTTTTTTTTTTTTTTTTTTTTGACAAGGCTAAAGATTGTGATCTGCTTTCGCTAAGGCTGGTTATGTTAACTATTGTGTTTTCTCTTATGGAATTCAAATCATGTCATCCAGGGCAATCTAGTGTATATATATACTGAGAGCGAGCACAAAACAACTCTGATTTATATATTTTATCCGCAGGGTTTAGAATAGTGCTTTTAATAACTACTTTACTAAAATAATAAATGAGTCATGATGCAATTTCCACCCTCCTTAAAGTACTATTATAACCTATGTCTAATAGCACAAGGTCATTACTTAGGTGTGGAACAGTATGCTAATACACTATATAGATACTAAAACTCAGGGTTGGGGTATAACTAAGTGGGAGAGCACTGGCTTAGCAGGTAAGAGGACATGGGTTCCATCCCTTGCATCACAATCAAACAAGATAACTCATATAACTTCAAATTAGTTTTTCTGCAGGGCTTAAATATGCTCTATTTTGGAGCATCTATTTGAAGAAGCAAATACACACACCCCAAACACATTTTTAGAGCACACTAACCCAACAACTTTGAAATGCATTTTTAATAATGCTTAATTTTTTAAGCATGATCGTTAATAGGTCCCTGAGTGCTCTCTTCTAAATTAATAATGTGTCATGGAGATGTTTTATACTTTTTCTTTTTATTATACCTTAATTCTTATCTAGCTCTTGATTAGATACATATGCATGTATGTGTGTTCATGCAAATATTTGTATATGTTTTCAGCAGAAATTCCAGCACTACACCACACATTATATATTTTGCACAAATACATCCTATAAAGGTAGGTAACATTTTATTTTAATATTTACCACCATGATTGTAGGCAAAATGCCTTAAGAATTTTATAATGGAATCAAGTGGCATTGTGACACTTTTCCTAATAGGAGAAATTGGGTATATCTAATGGACAGATAAAGTGGTTCCAGAGTGTGAAGACTACCCAATAGAGTGCACATTTCACCTGAAGCTAGGGCATTCCTAATGCATGGCAAAGACACATCTTGAAGGTACCTTTATTGAACCAATATGTAGGTCCCACTAGAAAACAAATCTACTTTGATCTTGGACTCTCCAGCCTCCAGAAGTGTGAGAAATAAGTTTCTAGTGTTTATAAACTTCTCTGCCTGTGGCATTCTCTGATAGCAGCCTGAATAGCTAAGACAAGGCTTCATATTTTCATTTTACCTGGACCCCACAAAATATATGACTGTTGCTCCTGAGTGTGGGGTGAAGAAAGCGAGGAGAGGACAGTTGGTTGTGGGTAGTAAGAGAGGAAAGAAAATTAACTAAGTAAGGAATGAGGTTCTGAGACCAACATGTTGTGATCTGATAAGAGACATGTTAAGGGTGTAAAGATACTGGAGAAGAAGGAGAAATGTTTAGTTAGGTTGTTTTGTTTTGTTTTTGCTACTGTGAACAAAGGACTGGGCAAGAACAATTTTAAGGAGGAAAAGTTTGTTTGGGAACTCACAGTTTCAGATCTTATAGTCATAGATAGCCAAATGCACTCCTCAGAGACCAGGGTAAGGCAGAACTTCATGGCAGAAGAGTGCAACAGAGGAAAACAGCTCTGGACATGGTCACCAAGAGGAAGAGAGAGAGATCCACTCATTAAGGACAAAATATATACTCCAAAGGAATGTCCCCAGGAACCTGGCTCCCCAGCCACACCCTACCAAACTATGATTATCACTCAGTTAATCCCCATCAGGGAATTTTGTGGATTGGGTTAAGGTTCTCATACCCCAATCACTTCACTTCCAAACCTTCTTGCATTGTCTTGCACATGAGCTCTTGGGAAACACCTAATATCTAAACCATAACAAGGGAAAAATGAAAGGAGTAGATAATAAAAAGAAATAGAGCAGGATCCAAGATTCCTCAACTTTCCTCCAGCAGAGTGGATCCTGATCAGTGATGCAGGCAGCAACTGGTGCTTGAGTTGAAATCCCACTGTGGATCTGCAGCTTCCTAGTCCACCCCACCCATGAGTGTGCAGTCAGCTCTGGTGGGTGAAAGACAAGTTCTGAAGTAGGAGAGAGGAAAGGTTGGAGACAACTGGGAGTTCTCTAGGGCATGCTGAGAGCTGGTTAAGCTGAGAATGAGCAGGAGTATAGGAAAAAGTCAAGAGATAAAATAGACAGAAGTGACCAGGACCAGAAAAAGAGAGAACATCTTTGAGAGAGAAGGTATTTATATGGATCACTCATAGTTGTGTGTTCCGTGGTCAAAGGAAAAGATTAGAAAAAGCCAAGTTGAGTAAGATATGTGCCAATTATAACTCAGCCAGGCAGGCTGTCTCAGCTATCCTAGGGGAATGCAGGATTCTTCCTTTATCACAGATCTTCCCTTGGGATTTCTCTTCTTGAAGCATTGTTGCTTAGGCTACAAGCATGCTTGTGTTCTTCCTAACGTGCCTAATTTTTGCTCCCCTCATAATTCCCCAATTTCTCGTTCCCCACCCAGCTCTCCCCAGAACCCATGTGAGCTGTCCTCCCTACACGATCTCTCTATCATCTGATGTCACCCATCTCACCAACACAAACCTCAGTTTTCCTCCCTGAGAAACCCACTGCCTATTATAACTTTCTGCTTGTACTGGATTTCTCATCCCCTCCACCCGCCACACTTCCTCAAGTTTTTCTCTTGCCTTTCTGTCTTCCTTACTTGTGGCTTGTGTGTTTTTCCCCCCAGAAAATTTCTTACAGTAAAAGGAACTTCCAACAGAGAATCACAGTGCTCTCCTGCATGGGACATTTGCATTAAATCACAAAGACCTTGTCATCATTCTGGCCTCAGGATACTTTATGTAAAATGACTAGAGAGAATTGAATTGATTATTAGCTAGTATCTCTTGTAGCTCTGATGTTCTCTGTGACTTGCTGTGCTCACTTCTCTACCCATCCATGTATTCTCTTTCCCTCTCTTGCTTCTATCTCTCTTTC